AATTTTCATTATTCGGCTTCATTAAATTCACGGCTAGACGCAAGCAGATCGAGAGCATAATTCGAGCATAAGTTTTTAAATTCAAAGGCCAATATTAACAAATGTTTTGGGCCATTAATCACATTGTCTTTGTTAGAGCAAATTGTTCGCACAAATCTCAGAAGAAAAAGTAACCAAAATGGGCTTTAAGGGTAAACCCTATTTAAAATTATTCTTCACTTGCATTAGGAGGAGGTTAGAACACAGGGGTCAGGTCAAGGTTAACCCGCGAGGTTAGCAAAATTTTCACAAAAAAAAGAATTAATCGCTTTTCCCGACACGAAGCTGGCCAAGAGATGAGTTGCGCATCCGCGCTGTTGGCCTGATTTTTCCTGGGGATCGGCTCCTCCTGCGCTGGTTGTAGCTTCTCTACTTCATCCCCTCAGGTTAGGGGTACACCTTGCCTAGGGACTTGACTCTTTACTGCAGGGCCCAATCTGTAAATTTTTCCATTCAAACAGTAAGCACTGCCTTTAACAAACACTCTATTTTCATAATTACCCGCTGGCTTGAGCCCTGGTAACAAAATTAAGGGATTTTCCCTTGGCGAAAGGTCTTGTCGACCTTTGGCCCTGGCCGTGCGTCGACGCTGCTTTGCTGCCTCCAATTTTCTAGTTTTCCTAACCTGGGCAACAAAAAGGTTACTCACTGTGCCCCACAAATTTGGCACTTCTCTACTCACTTTTTCTGCGAAGCTTTCAGCGGCCACTTCAACACTTGGTTTACGCGATTCACTGCCACTGTCTGATTTATTGATAATTACGAGCACCCGACACGTCTATGCTCTTCTAGACCTTGATTTAAAAAGACCTCCCACGGAAACGGAAAGTCTGCTTGAAAAAATTTCCTAATTGGCAAATGCGCTCTTCTTCGTCTTCAGAGCAAATGTAAATTCTCTGTTAAATATGCCAAAACGCGTTTTAATTAAATGCAGCTCTACATTACGGCACGTGCAAGCTTGCTCAAAGCTTTGTTACGTAGTCGCTTGACCACCTTTACGTGATCGCCAAAACTGGCGAAGCTAGGCTTAGGCTTCACATAAAGCGTAGCATCCTTCTAGGCTGATTTCCGTGGCAGGGTCTTCAGTCGCCACTACAATTTGCATACAACACTTTGACGCATTGTTCACCAGCAAGGACAGATGGCAGCTTCTGCTGGGCCAACTGCTGCCTCGACACTCCGTTCCACTTGAGCTCTAATTTAGAGTAAATTTAAGTGTTTCCCGCCAGCGCCTCCGTCAACTTCAGCATCCTTTCCGAATCCATGCCTCCATGCCTCGTGGCCTTACACCGACAAGGAGCCACAGACTGACAGACCAAAATTTGTGGAATAATTACGTTAACAAACGAGTTCAACCTTCCTGCCCACAAAGAGCAAGCCGATAAGCGGGAGGAAGCCAGCGTACTTTGAAATGAGTGTTAATTAATACGCATTTATGTAAGTAGGAGGGATAATCGAACCGAAGATTCTCTTTGTCGCCTGCCAATTAACACAATCTAATAGCTTTTCCACTGAGCACGTCTCGGAGGAAAATCGCAGTCTACATACTAACAATTGAGAACCATTTTACAAGGTAGGAGAAATCGATTGGAGGACTTTTCATCAATTTAATTATAAGAGATACCTTTATGAAGTGATTGTGTTAAAATGAGTTAAGTAGGTTTGTGACTATACAACATTTTAAAACATATAAATTGACATACAGAACCCATTATTATATACTTATTTAATTTTTCAATTATTAACTAACATTGCAATTGTTGATAACTTGAAAATAAGAAACATTAAACATATTTACCCTTAAAGGATACGATTTTTTCCTTTAATAAAGATTTCACATGCATGACGGTGAGATTTTCTTGCTGAAACCGCCATCAGTAAAACTTCCCAAACCCAACTCGGACGGTAAGTGAAAATCCTCTAAGAGCGCCCAAGTAATGCACATAAATAATAAATACAACGCGAAATTAACTTTCCGGTGACAGTCAGTCGCTCCACAACGTGCCTGCCTGCCTGCCTGCCAGAGAGGGCGGCAGCTGCTCCACCTTTACCCAGAAGGAGGGTTTTGGAGGGATAAAAAAAACTATTTACGAATGCAAAACACATTGAACGTTGAAAGCGTGCTACGTCGGTTTTTGTGTGCTCTCGGTATAGCTTTTACTTTTGAGGTGCAAAAAGCAACGGACCAAAATGGCTACAGAAGCCACGAGGAGCAGGAGGTATTAAGTTGACAGACGTAGCTAAATCTCAGGGTGGCAGCCATAAAAATTCATAAATTTTTGGCTACGTCCTTTCTTTTAGAGTAAGCGTTTCTGGGAAATATTGAATTCTATAGAAAAATAGCATCCGTAGAACAGCTTTAAGAGGGCTTTTTATAACTTTGTGAACTCAAAACGTTCAGCTCATTGGCACTGAATGAAATCTGTATTGGCAGACGATACCAAAAAAGAATAATGCAAAATGCCCCAGAAGCACCTAAAGCCCAGCTAACTTATTTCACTTCCCATATTTATGTCTGTTTATAGATTAAATTTCATATAAATGTGTTGATAATGGTAGCTAGACAATGTCTAGACTGAGCAAACACTCGTAGACATAGCAGCAGGCACTGTCATTTGACACCAGAGAGTGAAAGGTGAGGCGACCCTGGCACAACTTCATTGCACGGATGTCACAAATGCCACAAAATCCGCACCAGCAACAATGCAAAATTAATAGCTGTTGCATTGGACCAGCATGCTGTGCCGCAAGGTGGATCAGCAGCCCTTATGCCAACGAAGGAATGACAGCGACTCTTCACAGTCGTCATCATCGTTTAGCGGAAAATTTCAGGGGCAAAACTTTTCCTGCGACTGTGTCGAGGGTGGAACTTATGCAGAGTTGCATTTAAATTTTCCTTAAAGGTAAAGAATTAAGGCAGTGGTGGTAATATGACTATAAAATTAATACTGATTTATGAATTGGTATCAAGATATTGTATTCACATTAAATGTGTTCTTTAAGCCCCGAAATTCAGCTTATTTGATGTACCCAAGCCTTTTGTTTTCATATCTTTACTGTCTGCCACCTTCCCTCCTGTGCGTCATTACACATTTTCTTTCATTTCTATTTTTGTATTCTTCTCCTGACTATGTCTGCATGAAATAAGAGTTAATCTTGTGTCCACTGGGAATGCACACTTCCACAATGGGATAGCAGCCTCGTAACAGATGTCCTTGATTTTTTATTTGAGCACAAGGAAACTTGGCAACTAAAATATTTCGAAGCTGATTTCGCCAGCAGCTTTTCCATTTGTGTGCAACTTGAAAATGCAACTTCGTTTAAATACATTTTCAAAGCTGAGTAAGCCGCTTAGACAGCAGAAAATGCCGTCTTATAAGCCAATTGAATGGTCAATATGAATCAGATAAATTTGGCTTCTCGAGTTTTGTAGACTAGATTCTCTTTTGGAGGATTACTGCTACGGTCTCTAAAGTCTTAACCTTTTGCAAAGAATACTACTTACTTGCCTAACATATTTATTTATAATCTAATAATTAACATTTACTGAGTTCAATGACTTTGGGACTTAGTCACAAAAACGGGGTTCAATATCTGTACATATACTGCTTTAGCTTAGCCTTAAGAATTTGTGAATGATTATGTGAAAGCGTCTTCGCCTTGTCAAATTGTGTCAATATGCTGAAAACAAAGACTTCCACATCCACGTCGAGCTTCAACCGACAAGAAAAGGCTGCCTTGACATTTATTGGCCAATCCCCATTCCCTTAGTGCCGTATGCTCCACATTCCGGCAAATGCAGCAGGCAACACTGTTTGACAAGTTGACTTCATCAACTGTGCGCTGACAGCGTAAATATTTTACCAGTCCCGAACTACCGCCACTTACCTGCCATCCAGTGTTGGCATTGAGAAGATTTGACACAAATCAAATGTGATATTTTTAAATTTAATTCGCCACAGCCACCGTCATTGTTTGCTTCTGTGACGCTAGTTGGGAAAAAGGTATAAGGGTCCATACAAGGCAGGATTACCTTGAACAGGTGTAAAGTAGTTTGAGTCGCATAAACCTTACCAGGTCAATTCTTATGATTAACATAATTGGTTTGAATAAGGAATATGAGTATTTGATTTGTTTATAAAATTATTGACGAATAAAAGAAAAACTATTCAAAACACCAAGAAGCTGAAAAGACAAATAAATGGTCAGAAAATTAAGTATACGACACGAGCTCCAAAAAATAAATGAGTATTTGATTTGTTTATAAAGTCATTGACGAAAGAAAGGTAAACTATTTAAAACACCAATCTTAAATCAGAAGACATTTGAATGGTCCGAAAATTAAGTATACGACCCGTGCTCCAGAAAATATAAAAATCCAGAAAATTAAATGTAAGAAAAATAATGTAAAATTTGTATACTGACATTTACTGATGAATATAACTCACAAAAGATGAATAATTGGTGGCAACTCCCATTTGGTGAGGAGTGTCCATTTGAAGGACCGCTTCCATGTCCCAAACCTAGCCCAATACACAAACTCTGCTTAATTGCAGCGTAACCGCCTTTCGGGTTTCAAGGGCTGTCTCGGCCATGGGCCAAACAAATGTCTCAATAAACTTCCGGCAAAGTATTTCTCACAGAGGCCACCGGCTTCGGGGGCACGACTTAACCTCAATTTTGATTAACAATGTCTGGCAATGAAGCTGTCAACGTGCGGCCAGGAACCGCAACCACAGTCCGTAGGGAGGAGGGAGCAAGCAGCCGGCAGACACTCAATTTCTCGGGTGTCTGAGAAAGGCGCCTTCTCGAGGGGTTACTGCGAGCCTGAAAAATGAGCACAATTTGTTTCTTGACTCGGTGGCAGCTGAGTATGCCAACTATCAACCCGGCAGCCACTTAGTCGGACCTTTTGCCGCCAATGATTCCGTGCAAATACATATTTTATTGGGTCGCATTATTCACTTGCTAATAACATGCTTATGGGCGAACGTTAGGCGTTGCCAATTTTGGAAGTTGGCCTTCTGCCGGCGCGCCTGCTCCGCCTTCTGCTGCATAACGTAGTTCTCCATCAGCTGACTGGGCGTATTTTGACGGAAGCTCAGCGTTTGGGTGGGCGTGGTTGTGGCCATGTTTTGCCATCGGCGACGCAACCCGTCGATGCCACAGGCCGGCACCTCAATGCAGAGAAAGTAGGCCAATTCCATGCCGCTAATTAGGGAACAGCCAAGGAAAAGTCCTGCGATGCCACCGAAGCTAACTGTGGAAACATCAAGAAAAGGATGTTACCCACAGATAAAATCTAATAAATCTATTACATTCGTTATGAGTTTCTTTATGTTTGTTTGATTTAGACCTACTGAACTAATTAGATAAGTGCCTGTAGTTCTTAGTAAACCAATTGAAGTAGAATCGGTAATTAATATTCTAATAAAAATGGTCGAGTTAGGATACATTGATGGGATTTATTAATAAATTAACTGGTAATGAATTCATAGTTGAATAGTGGATTTAAAGAAAGCATACTGACCCATCAAATCCACCCAGCCAAAGACGAGACTGGTGCGATAGACCATTATGGTCTCGAAACGGAAGTGCACGTCCAAATCGACATATGAGGAGTTGCCAGAAACGTCCGGCGGCAGAAAAGCTGGACGGACGTCATTGATGTAGTTAAGCGAGTAACAGTTGCGAAAGCATTTGCAGACCATCCCCTCGAAATTGTTCCGGACAAAGCCCTTCTCGCCCGGCTGATGGGAGTACGAGAGCAAGTCTGCGAATAAAGGTTATGGGTCAGAGGACGGGGGGCTTGGCCACTTCCTCCCACTTACCATTGTGCTCCGCCAGGCAGAGCAAATCCTGCGACCGGCATGACCGATATTGGCCTTTGCAAAAGGATTAAGGGGTTTGGGTGAATTCGAAAGGCTGTGCTGCGGTTGGGCGAAACGTGCTTACCCGGTGGAAAAAGCAAGTCCATTGTGCAATTGCAGTAACGCACTAAGTACTCCTGATGGCACTCCGATTGGCAATTCTCAATCATGTAAACGTAGCCTTGCAAGGACTTGAAGTCGTCGCTGTTGTGCTCATCCTAGGATACAGTCAATATGAAAATATGTGCAAATTAATTATTTTTGATTGAGTAAAGGGTTAGAGGCAGAAGAAGCAACCGTATTTTTGAATTTTAAGTGGCCTTAAAGGGCGTTTTCAAATTTCTTGGCTTAAACTTCCCATTCACTCACATCGAACACACATTGACGTTGATCGGAGCGAACTCCACGCGTGTCATTGTCGTAGAAATAGATAATAGGTTCTATCTCTAGCGCTGTCTCCGTATTGGCCGGAATGTAGTATGGATTGTTGTGCCACACAAACGGCTCGGTGACCATGACATCGATGCCCTTCTCATTATGCCTGCCCGGCCAGTGCTTGCTTGCTTGGATCAGGACCCTCACAGATAGGCCAGTCATGGGTCCTGCCGATCCTGTGCGCCAGGGCCACATGGGATCCAGGAGCTGCATGCGTCTGCCCTCTTCCGTTTCTACGGTGTTGAAGGCCAGGCACAGCCCGTTCTTGCTCCGTCTCTTGGAGAAGATGTCGCAGCAATTGTATGTAAAGTGACGCCACATGCAGTCCGAGAGCATTTCGTCGCAGCGCCATGTCATAAAGTCCACCACCTGGCTGAAGTTGATGTGGCTTAGCAGCTCCGTCGGCTGGCCACGTAGCCTCTCGAAGGACTGAAAGTGACCGAAGTAGGCGTCATCGTAGCTGCCCAAAATGCGTTCGAACAGCGACAACAAGGCAGTGTCGCTAACGTTTGCCATGAACCTGGATTTGGCCTGAGCCAGGCGCTGCCAGTTCAGGCGATTCCGGTTGCAGATCGTGATCACCGGGAAGGGTATGCGGTACACCGGGTAGCGTGTGCTGTCCACCACCGTCTGGAAATGACCGTCGTTGTACCGCGCCGAGAGTATCAGGCACACATACACCGCTCCCAGAAATGCGCTGACAAAGGTGCAAAGCCAGATGAAGCGCTCCCACCGACTGGCCTTGGCGCTGAGAAGCCTGTCCAGGCCATGGATGGTGGTGCGTCTACCGAACCGAAGGGCCAGCTGCCAGGCAGACTGCGCCAGCTGGTGTGCATAACGTCGCGGTAATGATGTTGGCGCTTGGCTTGCCGATGAAAAGTAGACTAGCGTCATGGCGGTTCCGGACTGAGTCTGGTCGCTGGACAGTCCAGGACTTTTATACTAACTTACCAATATGCGTGCCAGAATGCAGCCGGTAATTAGGTCCCTATTAACGCCTTGTCATGTCGGAGAAATGCCTGGGTCTGACGTGCTTGGCGCCCATAAGCCATAAAGCTAACGCGGCTTCCGCCCAAAAGGTCACGCCAATCGACCCAGTATCCCCAAGAGATTTGACCCGATTTGCATCCCCCAACAGCCAGCTAAATGTGTCAGACTAATTGGCACCGAAATAGGTTCAATTGAATGCTATCTATCGCAAATGATTTGCAAACACTGATTAGAAATTACCTTCAATCAGGTGACTGAGACAGTTTGTAACCAGTTGGAATACTCTTCCTACACAAGGCAATACTATATTTCTTGATTATTTATAATGTGTGATGAAGAGGCTCTTTGAGCATTTATAAAAATAAATAAATATATATCAATACATGTTTTAAATCTTTTATTAGATTAGAGTTTGATAACTATTCCGGATACTTCCACAACCGTTGTAGATATTAACTATACCTTTATATTACCCTAAAAATTGATATATCTATGCTTGGTTTGCTATAAAAGCCTTGACCCTCTTGTAAAGAAGAAACTACACTATGTTCACTCGACCCGTTCGCAAAGTCAAACGTTTTCTCCCTGTCGATGCCTGGCTGGAAAGGTATCCCACCAAGGAAAGGAAAAATAATAAAAAGACAGCCTGGATGGATCTACTGGAAACCTACATCAGTAGGTCACATATCCATGGACTATATTTGCTCTTTCTGCCGACGATGCGACGACGAATGAGGTAAGAAAAGCTTTCAAACTCTGGGCTTCAATTGATTGGGAGATTCCCCTGCCAGGTTTCTGTGGTCCCTTGCCCTGATCTGTGCCTGCTCGGTTCTCATCTATGTAAGCTATCTGCTGGGCGAGCGTTACCACAGCAAACAGTTCAAGACCATAGTGGCGCACTCGCACGCATCCATACATCACATCGCCTTCCCGGCGGTCATCATCTGTAACAGGAATCGACTGAACTGGTCTCGGCTACCGGAAGTCAAGCTGCGGTACAACATTACGTTGGCTCAAGAGGAACTTTTCGAGCGCATACTTACCGCATACGACGGCTTGAGTTTCCATCAGTTCAACGTGTTCGATACCCTGCAGGGTGAGTACCTGGACGATCTGAACCATCTTAACTTCACGCAAATTGTAACGGAGCTGTCTTGGAGATGTGACGAAATACTAGCAGATTGTCACTGGCAAACTGCGTCCCGCGATTGCTGTAGGATGTTCAGACCACGCCGCTTGCCCTTGGGATTGTGTCTGGCCTTCAATGAGCTGGAGCAGCGAAGGGGCACGGATACTGGCATAAACACGGGACTGCTACTCCGACTACAGCTACACGAAGACAGCCACGCTCCGGGGAACATGGGTCAAAAAGGATTTCTGGTGGGTTGTACAGATCCTTGAAACCTGAAGGCTCTTATAGAACAGCACATATTCCACAGCTGAACGTGGTGGAGCCCGATGTGTGGTTTGGCTTCGATATCGAAGTGATGCCCCACTACCGGACCAATGTGGCCGTCACAGCCGTGTACCATTATTTCGACGATAGCACCTTGAGCCTGCCCTCGCGGTGGCGGCGCTGCGTGATGGACTACGAGCAGGACAGCGAACACTTCCAGACCTTGGAGGGTCAGAAGTACATGTTGGAGAACTGCCAGGCCGAGTGCCAGCAGCGATATCTGATGCGCTACTGCAACTGCACCCTGGATCTGTTCTATCCACCCTCCGAATACCCCGCCTGCAGGCTGAAGGACCTGCCGTGCCTGTCATCGCACAACCACCTCTTGCAGAACTTCGAGCAGGTGGGGGAGCAACCGTACGTCCACCGGGAGGAGTCGGGTCTGCTGTGCGAGTGTCTGCACAACTGCAAGTCCCTGACCTTGGTGACTGACATGCGCAAGAGTGTCCAGCAGCCTTGGCCGCAGGCGAATTCGAGTCGCCTCAGAAACACCTGGCTTAATGTGTACTTTAAAAAACCCTCCATGCTTGTCTACAAAACCAACTTGATCTACACCTGGGTGGACTTGATCGGTATGTTTTGTGATTTAATTAGTTTTGCTATTACTATTTATTTTTAAAATTAATTCCAACAGTTTCATTCGGCGGAATTTGTCAGCTTTGCTTGGGATGCTCAATTATCAGTCTTATAGAGTTTATATTCTTTGCACTCTTCAAAGTCCCTCAATTCTATTGGAAACGAGCGAGAGGTGAACTGGATACAACTATACGTGCATAATTATATATGGGCAGGGATCCATATATTTCTATGTGTTGGACTCGGACGTCTAGAAATAATAACAGTATGGAATTAAATGTATTTATTTTATTTTCGAATAACCAAAAATGAACTTGTCACGACCAACATCATTCTCGTAAGCTTAGTTGTTGGTTTCAAAATTTCAACAGTTTGAATGGTATTTTAAGCTTTGCAGGTACTTAAAATAATATTTACATTTACGTTCGAATAGAAAATGTAAACATGGAAATTATTAACGCGCCCCAAGTAAAGTTTATACATTTTAGCCTGAGCTCTGTTCTAAGCTCTGTCCCTCTGGTTTCAGGATATAGACTCCTAAAAAGCTTTAGAGTGCCTAAAGGATACATACACTGAAAATACTAATAAAGACAGAGTCCTAACACCATAAGCATCAAAATGATGATATTTTTTTATGAGTGTATGTATAATTTCATAGAGTATTGTGGCGCATGCGCCATGTTTCTTATAAAAAATATAGAACGCCTACTAGAATAAACATAGATTTGAATGTCTAAGACTTCTAAAGGACTTCAAAATGTATTACAGACATAGAACTTTACATCTGTATATTTCATAAGAAGCTAAATATTGATTGTGTAAAATTTGGAACAAAGAACATAGTATAGAAAGGCTAAAAGAGATCCTATTTACTTGAATTAAATACTAATGGAACTTTGAAAATTCCATTAAATCAAATTTCCCAAAATTATTATTCAGAAATACCAGTCGGAACATCGAAATATGAAAATATAGAAATATACCATAGAAAGTACAGAAAGTAGAACAAAACGCCAAGTTACATTTTAAATAAAACTGCAAACATTGTACATAGAAAAAACTGAGTTCATAGCAAAGAAAATATGGAAATCATAGAACATGGAACATAGACAGAAAAAGTAGATTACTTACATAGAACATAGAAAATTCGATTGGAATGGAAGGTATACGCAGTGGATGTAAAATGAGCTCGACGAAAAAGGTATTTAAGAAATGTTGAATCATAGAATAGCGTAGACAAACATACATTGCTATTACCATTTATATTTTAAAAAGCTCTTTAATTAATATTTAAAATTATTGCCCTTAAAAATTGGTACTCTTTATTATGTTTAGGAAATGAAACATAGAGTGCGTTCTATAAATTGAAAGTGTAGTGTTCAGTTTATGGTAGTCTGCCGTTTATAGCAGGAAAAATCGATGTTTCTGTCGCTGCTGCTTTCCGCTTGGAGCGCTTTCGTGTTCGAATTGTTTTCAATTTTCGTAACAGAGCAGCATTCAATCTATTTCCTCATTGAACATAAGCATTTGGGCCGAATCATCATTTGCATCACTTTATACGAATATGTCTCCTTTCGCCAAGAAGGCCAAACTATACCCTTCCATTGCAAAATTTCACCTTCGTCTCCGTGAAGATACAGGCCAAAAAGATTACTGTAAGAAAAGTATTTTTTAGAGAAATTTATATATAAGTAAAGAATATTACCTATGAGTGCAGTTGATGTGCCACCAAGGACCCATGTACTCTGCGGCACAGTTCTTGTCCCACGCATCGTTATCTCTGTCGTAAGTGGAGAAGTTTTGGTTCTTGTTCTGGATCAGGGAGTCGCCGGCATCTCCAGTAAATATGCCCAACTTTGTCATTGCATAAAATTGGTTTTCACTTTCAACGAAAAAGTCATCGTAATGCGCATAGCGCGTCTGTCCTTCGAAGTCCTCCAGGTGTATGTATAGTTCGTGGGGCTGTGACTTAGTTATGGCGTGCAGTTTATCTAATCCAATGAAGAAGTCCTTTGTGAGATCGCCAAATCCATTTTTGTACTCCACCCAATTGAGAAAGAAATTCAATTTATTGCTGGTGCGACGGGCAATCACAGTCCAACCAGGACCGGCAATTTTGGCATCGCATGACACCTGAAAAGGATCCAGTCCCGACACTTGAACTGTGTAAATGCCGTGCGATGTGGGCAGTGAGGGACACTGCAAAGGATAGCTTTCGGCAAGTCCTGTTGCATTCAATTCGATAATGTGCTGAACGATATTAGAGGTACTTAGACTACCAGTTTTATCATTGATTTTGGGCAGTGCTTCTTTGTATATCGCATCTAGTTCCAGTTTTTGCCTGTCATTATAACTCTTATTAGCTTGTGTTTTCACCGAATATGTTCTTACCTGTTCAGTTTTTCTCGGTTTGATTTAGGACTTGTTGAAATCTGTGGTTATATAAAGATTATATTCTAGAAGAGGTCAACTGTCTCATTGCATATATATTACCCGACCAATTTCATTTGAATTGGTGAAATCTATAAGGCACAAAATGGCCGAGCAAAACCATACTAATCGCATCGCAACGCTTTGATAACTGATGGTATTTTACCATTGTAACAAAGCTTTTAAGTTTAATGTGAACACTAGTCATCGGGAAACACATTGTGAGTATTTCAAAAGCAAAACCCTTTGAAACTTTACTTATGACTTTATGATATTCTTTCTTAGCACTCAAGATCTAGTTTAATTTTCAGAGACATTTATAAATGTAATTTTCACCTTATAGAAATAGTGTTTTACTAGGCAGTGTGCTTAATTCTAATAAATGTGATTGCTATCTAACTTTATTAATAAGCATTGCTTATCAAAACTGACTCAGGCATACAATAAATTATTCAGATAAAATAAATGAAATGTAAGCGGTAATGTAATCATTTATGCAAATAAGTACTTTTCAAGCGAATAGTTCCTACCTATACTATTATATTCTGTATTCATTTGTAAGTTATATCAGGAATAGTAATGCTTACAGTGGTTCCTGTAGAACTTAATCATTGTCTCCGTTGCTTTTAAAGACAAGTACCTGATTTCACAACATTATTTATCTTCAAAGTCCCTTTATAAGGTATTTACTCTTCACTAGAAAACTGATAACAAGAAGCTGCTCAATAATGCATCATCTCACTAGATATGTTAGTATAACATTTAAATCTGCACCCGAATACTTTTTGCAACAATTTCACCAACATTTTCAAAATTAAGCCAAATTTCAGCTATATGGTTTCGGGCCTCCTTTGAAACTGAAGAAGAGTTGCACTGTCGGGTATCCAAAATATATATCTCCGTTTGCCGCTGTGCTCCTAGTGAGGTTTTAACGGTTTATTGACTGGCCGCGAGCGGTGTCTTAACTGCTGCAATGTCGCGTTCCCCGTTTAACAAGCGTCCTCCGGATGTGGGCCGCGGTCCGGACTTAGGACTCAGGACTCTGGAGCTCCGGAGCTCTGTGCAGATGGTCCTGGCCCAGGCAGAGGCGGGGGTTGTCTTGTCGAAATTACTCTCATAAACGTGACTTGACATAATAATCTGGCTGGCGCGCTCTGACTTTGCCCGCTAGCTTTGTATTTTTCACTCTGCCTCCCGATTTCGAGCCCTGGCCCATAGCTGCCGCTGCCATCTTTGTCTAATATTTCTTTCGCTTCTACTTGCCCTGATGCCTGATGCCCCAGCTTTCAAGGTGGCGTTAATTTTTTTGGGTTCTTCTTTTAATTTTTTTTATACTTTTTTTTGCGGTCAAGTTTTATGTTTTTTCGCTTTGGGTTGGAAGCCGCCTGGCGAATATGGCAAAAATTTCATTAGTTTTACAAACAAGCAAACAAACAGACCAAGAAACAAATATTTGCGCTTGAATTTTTGAACAGTTTAGTGGCAGTTGTTGTTGCTGCCATTGTTGCGAGTGTGGCGAGTTTTTATCTTGAACGGGCAAAAAAAAGGAAAGGCAACTGCTTCCACAATCTAGGGTTATGGTCAGGTTCAGGTGAAGGTACCGGACTCGAGGGATATCGAGTAAAAAGAAAACGTATCAAAGAAATAGCACAGCTGGGATTCATTTTAAAGCAAACAGAAGGCTCTTTCTTGATTTGCAATCTTCATATTAAGTAGCAGTAAGTCTCGCAGAAAAAATTTTTGAAATGCCTAAAATCTAACTCTAACATTAAAATAGGTAGCAAATAATCTAAGGAAGATTAAACCAACATCCGGATGAGGCTCTAAACTTTATCTTAGCTGTAAAAGGAACTTGTAAAATTAAATGATAGCTTGAACTATACTTGGAAGACCAAGAAGTACACTGAATTACCATATATATTATGTCACCCATGGCGAAATCGCTTCGCTACTTGTAAAGACCAGTAATCACATATTTAACTCTGAGTTATTCAAGAAATTAAATTGTTTTAACATTCTTGCCCCATGTAGGCCTGCCATAGGCTAATAAAATCTAAACAAAAGATCTGCGACAACCCGTTTCTATATACTTTGGTGGCCACTAATGTCCTTTTGCTTGGTAAAGGCCTCACAGCCAAGGACAACAATGCAGAGAGTTGCGTGGTCAGGACATGTCCTCGGTACGTTTTGGTCAGTTTTTTTTTATTACATCCTAATAGGGTATTATATTTTGGTTATATGTTGTAACGGAGTCATATATGCATCATATATTGTATTTTCTTAATTGGTATTACCAACACTAGATCTATTTTATTGTTTCTTGAGTCAAAAAAAAATTACCATATTAAAGAATCTATAAATATTGTCAAAGAATGTAAATATTTAAGGTCTTATTGAGAATGTAATATGGCCAAAAAACAGTAATTACCTTAAGTTTTTTATATAAATAACTTGACTTGACTTATTTACAATCGATTTTCAACTTTGTCTTTCTTAAGTTTGATTCCTCTCTCGTTTTTTACTTGATTATAAATTATTCCTGCTTATTACTTTCATCTCGAAATAATTTCTTTTGTTCCGTTAGAGATAAGATATTTTCTAAAAAAATTCTAAGATATTTTTCTACCAAAAGGCGGTGTCCTATTAAATTGTAAAATTGTTATACTTTGTAAATATAGTGTACCCTGTATTCGGTCTTAACATAGTCCACCACTGGACTGCCCAACAGCGGCATACACCTGGTCTCATAAATTATTGCGAAGAGGTTACTTTGTAATCAGCAAATTAACTTTATCGCCGACAGCGCTTCGGATATGGTAGTGTGTGTGCTTAGTTGTTCAGCGCACACAAATGGACGTTGGGGTTGGGTTCAGATTTTGACCTCCTGATGGACCCTCCCGACCTGTGACTACTAGGTGACAAAGTTCCCTCCGTGCTTGGCTTCCATCAAGGAAAAGGAAAAGGGAACGTATTATTTATATATGCACCAATCAGTCATTAAATCAGGCAACATACCCACCCCCGCTTGTTAGATAATCGAATTTTTAATGTTTGCTCTGTGCGCGAGGTCGCATAACTCATAAGTTACCCTCCCGCAGTGAAATTTGCGGTGTGTCGCGGTTGTGTAGGCACTGGTTACAAATGCAGCCAAGATATATGGCATTAGGGGGCGCACATCGGGGAGCAAAGTGGGGAATGTGGAAGTGTAGCAGCGTGGCAAACGCCCCCCATGAGGTAATTTACCTAATTTTCAATGTCAACTCCCTTCCGCGCCCATTTGGGGCACACTGATTGGATTCCGCCGTATTGAGTCCTAATCTCCTGTCCCGTCCCCCCGTCTACCAAACGTGAGTTAATCGAATCTGCTCTTTATTGACGCATTTTCGTATCTGAGCAGCCTGCCACCCAATTTCGTTGTTTGCATTTAATTTTTTCCCCCTCCTCGATGCTCCTTTTTATGCCCTTTCACAGAGTTCTGCAGTTTTGTAGAAAGTCACTGATTCCACCTGATTCTATGGGATTAGCTAGCGGAGTTTTAAAGCTGTCACCTTAAAACTTTCCCAACCATCTTCTCTTGTTTTTAGGATCCCTATAACCTACCGCTATATCCCTTTCGTATTTTAGGGATGTATCTTTTTCACGTTGTTATATATTACGACTATATAAATATTTATATATCTTATACAAAGTTTTATATTTAAATTGAAAAAGGGTATATAATGATTGACTTTCTGACCTTAGCTCTTCACCTCGTTTTGGTTGTCTTTGTATTTGCTAATTCCTGGCCATAATGCAAAAAGTTGTTACCGCTGCTTAAGAAGCCCGCTAATCTTGTTTTATATTCAAGCCGCAAGTTAAATGTTGTTAATAACACTTTGTCAGCGTTTACAGTTTGTTTGAGCAACATAAAGGTCGCCGGCATGCGGTGGCGAGGTGCCTTTCATTAAAGTTTCTTCGAGCCACTCCTGTACTAGGCCCACTAGATGGACACTTTGGGCAATTCATGTTCAGATGAGATATTGATAAGCAGAGGTTATAGTGATATATCGAACGGCGAGAATGGCTGTCAAAGTGTCGCAGCAACAGATTTTAATTTGGGCCCGGTCCCATTTATGTATGTAGGCATACGAGTTTAGTCACCTGCCAGACCCAAATCCAGTGGTGACTGCCAATGTGTTGCCGGGACCATTTAATAAGGCACGGATTATCGCCAGGCATTATTTCAATCACATACCAAGTGTCGAGTATTTAGCAGACAAGGAGCACGCGCCGCCATCGCCTTCGTTTCTGGCCTCCGCTTCCTGCCACTGCCACTGCCGCTGCCACTGCTCCTGGCCATTCCGGACTATTCCCCATGATCCCCTCGAGCTTCTGTCAGGCCGGGCCGTCAGCTGACTTCGGATACCGAGGGGTAGAGCTCCCTAAAAAAGCCAATAAAAATACTTTGTTTGACAAATAAAAGCCGCAGTGAGGGGAGCTTTGCCGATAAAACGGTGCAAGATAGCCGGGGCGGCCGCAGGGGTTCGTTCCCGAGGAACGTCTCTCCGTCCGTGTAACTGACAGGTCGCACATATGTGCCAGTGGACGGGAGATGGGCGAGTTGGGGTGTTTGTGCAGAGTCTTCACATCGTTTGACTTTACGAGCCAGTCCAAGTGCCCTGCGACCGTTGGGTGTCTGGTTATGCTCTGCTTCCGCTTGGGCATAACCGAAAGACACACCTAGTTGGATGTCACATTATGAGGAATGTAGGAGCTACAGCCAATGATAACTTATATTTTCTTTATTGGAATCTAAAAATAATAGCAAAATATATTTAAGTTAATCATTCAGTTCTGTGAACTGATTGATGAACATGGTGGAATCTTACTTAGCGCTTTAAACAACATTGTATTTAGTGGAGCGTTAAAATAGAGTGTTATCCTGGTCGTATCCCTTCGGTAGATTTAGCTTTGACTCCGGAACTTAACGAATCTTGTTGTTGATGCTGTCGACAACTGTCTTTCGTCTTTCTTCGCTGTCTGTTTGATAATAATCAACGCTGACGACGTTGCCATTTCATATGTTTGCCAACATGAGAGCGGCCATCGCCGATATGCCTCGCCTGGGTGTGTTTATGTGCATCCTACTAGTATTGGGACATGTTTTTCTTTACCACTCATATTTGTTCCTATTGTTAGACGACAGTTGCGCCTAGCCAACTTTAAACCGGACTTAAAGTAGGCTAGGCAAAGACGATGGCACTCCGGCCTGCGTGATTCTGGTCACGGCTGTCAGCTTGGCTCATTTTTGGCGCGGGTTAAAACTAATTAAAATCGGGGCGCTCCGCTTCGGCCCAGACTTAATATGCAAACGAGCCGGGCGCCAGCGGCGGATGTCACTGCCGCCTTGTGGGCTTCATTTATAAAAAGCCTGTGACTTGAGCCGGTCACAGGCACACTTCGAAATTGAAATTCTCGTTACGCATCTCGGGATTTGTGTCATTGGTGTGTTTGCTCATACCCGGCAATCGATGCACACAGGCAGAGTCAGAGGTTTGGGCCCAGGCCCAACGATCCCACACTTTGAGTCATGATTACAGCTCGCATATTAATCAACTGACCCAAAATATACAAGCCCCGTTTATGACTCGTCAATGTCCTGCGTGCTGCATCCTAGAGAGTTCGTCCTGCGCCCGAAATTTGTGTTGGCCAATGTTTGTGTGTTAGTTAATTGCAGTTTCCCACACTCACATATGCCCGGACGGGGAGCGTTTTGAACGGAATGAATGTGTGCACAAGGATTCATTGGCAAGCACAAATCGCCGCTTGACTGCTGAAATTTTCAATAAATGATTGCATACTTTGAGAGCTGCAATATTTGTCGGCATATTTGGGTTTTATTTGTTTGCCGGCTGCCAGTTGCCACTTTTCCTGCTAGGACAACGGCTTTAAGTTATTTCAGTCCCAAAATTATTTGTTTCGATTTGAACTGCACTCCATTCATGACCGAAATATATCGGATACAAAAGGGTTTGTAGGTCAAAATACTAATATCATTTAACTAGAGTATTGCTCGTTGCGAGATTGACGTAACTGCTGAAGCTCAGAGAAGTTTGGAATACAAATAATAATTATAATAGCTTTCTTTTGCTTAGCCTCAATTTGGTTTAGGTTGATAAGCTTCTTTAACTTCCTAATGACACTGCAGACACCAATTTGTTTTTCGTTTACGGATTTAATAATTTCTTTTTTTTAATTTATTTATTATTTAAATATAAGTGTATAAGCAGTACAACGAAATATAATTGACAACAAATGGATGAATTATATAATGTACAAGGAATACAAGGATTTAATACTACTTCTCTATTAAAAACATATCCATTCGGTTCCCAGAAGCTCTTATATTAAATACGCTTGCTTAATCTTTTCAAAAGTACATACACTGGTAAAATTGGGAATTAAAGAATGAATAGTAAAAGATGATTTTGTATTAAGCCCTAGCAATGAAATTTTGGAATTAACATTAAATTAAAAATAACTTGCAACATAAAAAACATTAATAATACCTACTTCTCTCTATTTCTCACCTCTATTCCAAATTCATGTGTGTATTATGTATTACATATAAAATATGCCTGTAAAATTTACATTTTTCGCCTTCAAAATAGTTGCCAAAAATATATAGTAACTTACCAATTTCAGATACTTGTTTTTTGCAATGTATAAACAGTTCCCCCCGAAAATTATAAAGATTAGAATTTCACAATTTCGGTTTTCTGGACTTTATTTGCTTTAATAATTGTATGAACACTGAAAAAGTTGAATGTATATAAAATGATTTATTGCTCTGTTTCCCAAAGTTCGCTTTTCGTGTGAAATCCAGCACGTGTTTTTTACATTTGTCTGTGTATGTATGTATGTACATATCTGGCAATTATAAAAGGCACAACAATGATGCTAACGACGGCAAACAGAAATCGGCTGGACAAATGCCACATATGTACAAATGTATGTACATATGTAGTTACTCAAACAAGCAGACAAAAAAAAATAATAATAGACAAACCAATCTCCGAAAAACCGGCGAAAAACATTTAGAAACATTGTGGTCGCTTCTAACAGCTGAAATGCCGCGACATGTCAGCGGTGGGGAGAGCGGAGGGAGACCGGGAGACTGTTATATAATAAACACACGCGGCTTGGCTTTGTGGACCAACTAGACTGGGCGGCAGGCCGATGGACAGACACACACATGGGTGTGGGTGAGCCTCGAATAGCAGCCACCGGGCTCTGGCGCTGACACCGGAGCCGGAGGACTCGCCGCAGATTTCTGGCTTCTGGATGTTGTGTTGATGGCGCCGAACCTGGCATTTTGCGCATTTGTTTTGGCAACTCGTGCGGGTGGGGGGATGAGCTGCACGGGGGCCTCCCTTCCTGTGCGGGTTAATTAGGGTGGTGCAGGTTATCATGAAGTTTGTCGCAACAACACAATTGAAATTGAACTAATTAATCGCTGAGTCAGGCATTCGCGGCTCACACAAGAGGTCTCTTCCCACTCTTGGCACTAATAAATCGCTGTGAAATTTGCTTATTCCAATTACAAGCCCACGACCGGGCTTGAGTGACGCTCCGACAAACTGTGATTTCATCAGCCGCCGCCGCGCCGTCAGTCCGTCAATGTCCCATTCCCTGCCGGCGAGCAATCAATCAATGCGGAACCGGCCAGTCGTTGCCCTCGTACCCCCAGCGAGCAACACGTGTTTCCCTCGACGGAGTCGGCCAGCAACCACGGCACGTGATGCCGGACCCAAAATCCCAGCAAAGCCCCAAGACCTGGAATACGAGCATGCTACAGTGCGGATCGAAACTGACTATGTGTCGGCGACGGTGGCTTCCGATTCACACTATGCGCAATTTCCCAGCTGGATTGCGTCACTCGAACT